CCGCCACCGCCACCGCCGCCTCCTGCTCCAGTTAGACCACCACCTAGTGCCCGTGGCTCAGTTCCAGTAGTAACCTCACCATCCCGTCCACCACCTGGTTCAGCACCTGGTTCAGCACCCGGTCCAACACCTGGTCCAACACCTGGCCCAACACCTGGCCCAGTACCCGGCTCATCACATGGTGTGATACGGCGTCCACCACCTGGTTCGGCACCTGGTTCAGCACCCGGTCCAACACCTGGTCCAGGACCTGGCCCAACATCTGGTCCAACATCTGGCCCATCATCTGGTTTGATACGGCGTCCACCACCTATTGCAGCGGCTCCTTCAGTTCGTTCGATAGCTACAAGATTTGGTCTTCAGGCTCCTCCTGCACCATTTAATCGGGGATATATCCCAGAACCTGCTCGACTCCAGGCCCCCGAACATGAGACAGCAGCACCACAAGTATTATACGAAGCAGTATCCTCTCAAGCAGCAGCGCAAGCAGTACCTCAGGCAGCATCCCAGGCGGCACCCCAAGAGGCATCCCAGGCATACTTTCAGGCTGCCCAGGAATATTACCAGCTTCCTGTCGAACCTTCCCGGCCTTCTAAACATCCGCATCGATCAGCAACTTTTAGAAGAGAAGAGGATGGGAACTATACGCTAAGGAAGAGTCGAGGACCACCGCGCCCTGAGAGACACCCTAGAGTAGAGCTTGATTCGATGTCTGGTTCTAGCGGCAGCCATAGGGAAAGGGTATTTTCTCCCCTCTCAGTCTCTAAATTGCACATACTAAACCACGACAGTCTGCCCCTCGCACACAAGGCATGGCGAAGATGCTATTCATGAAGCTCTGATCAGCGAAGCATCTGTTGCGACCTCTCAAAGCCGATTTTGAATTTGTGGAGTGGACACTGCTCGGTGCAGAAGTGAGCCCACCAGGATTGGACAGTAGCTGCATGCGCTGCTCAGCCCCACGGGTCATGCATCCACACGTAACCCTGCATTACCATGCATACTTCGACTCATGTCTAGTACATCTGCACCTAGCGCTTCACTATATATATGGTGCCTGGTCACCATCACGGAGTCGCCAACAGCGTCATCACGATTCAAGAGTATCTTCTCACAGTACCACACAAACCATGGCTACCCCCAAACCCACATACTTCCTCACCCCACCACGCCCTAGTCCCCCCGATGGCCCCATCCGCCTCGGTGCTATCATCCCCTCCCCATCCCAACCGGATGAACCCCTCCACCTCCCTCCCCTGCCGCCCCAAACCGACACAAGCACCTTCACGGAACATGACTGGAGCGGCACGCACACCAAATCCACATCCACCACCTTCGGCATCTGGACCTCCTTCCTCGAATGCGTCCTCGGTGTCGGCGCAGACATAAGCATCAGTAACGACAAATCCGTGTCCCAAACCTGGCAAGTCGAAAAAATGACAACGCAGACTTTCCAACCCAGTCGCGCGTTTCTGGAAGACGTGGTGAGGCATGAGGATGTTAGGGATTACATCACTCAGCACCGGTTTAGAGAGAAAATCTACATCATAACGGGTGTTATGATAGCGTCGTCAACCACGCTTTCCAGGGAACGGCTCCAGGAAAAAGGTGTCTATGTGCATGCGGGTGTGGATGCGACAGCGTGGTCTGGCGTACCGATTTCGGTGGGACCGGAGGGGAATTGGAAGAGGAAGAGCGGGACGAGCGAGCAGAGTACGAAGGCGGAGGACTTTGTTTTTGCGTATAGGATAAGGGAGGTTAAAGTGAAGAGGAAGGGAGGGGTCAAGTCGGATAGGCTGTTTGATAAGGGTGCGTTGTTTGATACGCAGGTTAGGAGGAAGGTTGAGGACAAGGGTGAGGTGGTGGTGGATGGCTTGGGGGAGGAGCCGGATGTGGATGATGTGGAGTCGGAGAGTAGGGAGGTAAGGCAGAGGGTTGGGGATGACGGGGAAGAGGAGGATGCTGTTTGTGTTTTGCCGGAACCGCTGGACTGAGTACGTAGGCGTGTATGATACGTAGGCGCAAATAGAGGAAAGTGGAAACTGCTGCCAGCACACACGGTAATACTGGTAACTGTCTATTATGGCCGAAGCCAAAAGGCGTCACTGCTACACGATCGTACATGAACCGCCACCTCCTTCCAGTCCTCTCCGCACGCGACTTCTGCTCCTTTCGTCATTGCAGAAGGTCGCTGGTATAAGCTCCCGAAATGCATGCAAGTCTCCCAAGCGGTGGTATCCTCAATGCCCCCAACCCGTGTTTTACGCCGTAGATAGATGGTCATGAAATGCAGCCTCCCCCAAACGCCTCGCGCTAAGTTTCCTTGACGAATTAGGAAAGAGATGAGTGTATGATGTAGAGAGCTTCACTTCATCAGCCTACGCAGGATGGCCGTGGCGCAACGGTCCGCAATATTGTGAACGGCCTAAGTGGATGATGTGCTACCTCGTCTGGTCCCCGTTATTCTGCCCTGCGATCCCGAGGTGGTATTAGCGGATGAACAATACTCATACATGAGTGGAAGATACAACAAGAACGCGCAACATGTAATTAAGGGGAAGAAGAGCCCAGGTAGGTAGGGTAGGAGGAAGTACCCTGTCCAGGATAGCTAGGCCGCGAAGCAGGCTGTGCTGGTCGATAGGATTGATACCCATGGCGTGGTGGAGGTGTAGATGGAGGCCGGGAGTAATCAGAACGCATGCTAGCAGACCCACTATGGTAGGTTGGTGGCAGTGGACGACTATGGGCAGAGTGACTGCCGAGGGGAGGTAAATGATACCGACGGGGCGGATCAGGAAGGCTATTGGGGGTAGTGTACGCTACCTTTTTCGTTGGTCTTACTGGCTCATCATCATCGCTCAAGGTCAGATCCACTACTTCGGATTTTCTCTTCTGGCCAGACCGGGGGGCTGTGGATGTCTCGCGAGAAGGCAGTGGAGGGGTGCTGAGCGAAGTGGGTGTCGGCGCAGCTTCGGTCTTGATAGCCTGTATACGGTAATCTGGTATCTCGATGAGGTCATCATCACTATCGTCATGATGCCCATTGTGCCCGTTTTGTTTGGGCTTCTCATCCTTTTCGGTCGACCATTGTCCGCTTGGCTGGATGGTGACCTGGTCCGTGTTCTGGGCCTTGTTGAGGATTTCCTCAACGTACTGGTCGACGGCCAAGCCTTCGTATGATATGGTCTTGCTGCATATTGGGCATGTCCATGTGGGAGCTTGCTCCTGGAGCTGCAGAAATGAGTCGGCGTCAAAGCATTGATTGTGTGTGCACACAGTCGACCTGCATGGGGTGACAATGCGCAGGGTAGAGATGGGGTCCTTGAGCGACATGACGCTGGAGCCAACTTCGATGTCGGGGTCATTGGCCTTTTTCATCACTGTTACAACATTAGTCATGTGAGAGATGTTAGCTGCCGAAGGCCACTACATACTTTCATTGAGCACAGACTGCCTCGTGATGACATGGCGCTGCTTGATGCGCTGTGTGAGCTCGTCGACCGAGAACTTCCTGACCAAGTAGACGAAGAGGTTGTACTTCTGCATTGAGAGTTAGCTCAGAGTCACGCTTGGGAAGCTGATGGGATAAGAAACCTCCGACCGACTTGCCTTCTGAGTCAGGGCGTAGGTGATGAGGATGCTGTTGCGCTGGTTGGCGACCTTGGTGCGGACGAAGTCGGTAATGTCGGCGGGGCGCGTAGAGCCTGGCTTGTTCTTCAAACCCTTGTAGTTGGCCTTTACCTCGTCGTCGTTGACCTTGACCTCAATTTGAGATGGGAATGCGATATCGAGACGCGAGAAGGGCGCCAATGGCTGTTCGAGCGCAGAGAAGAGCAGCAGGCGCAAAGATGGGTCTGTCTTTAGGCGTCCGGACTGGCTTTCGTTGAGGGTGAGGTTACGCGATATGGTGGCACGGTGGGTCGGCGAAGCGTCCAGAGACATATTACTCAGTATCAGCTCGCGAATCTCAAAGAAAGGGCTCTCCTTGAAGAAATAGGTCGGACGTGGCGGCATGGGTGGCTGCTGGGGCTGTTGGTATGGCTGGTATGCGCCGCTGTTTTGGAAGCCGTTGGCCATGCTGTACCCGTTCGCGATGGGCTGAGGGGGCTGCGAGTACGACGAGGCGACGGGGCTGCTCGTGGCTGGTGGAGGCGCTTCGCCGTGGTGTTGTACGCGGTATTGCAGTCGCCGCAGCAGGTCGGTGTCGCTCCTAGCAACGGCATTGGCGATGACTGGGGAGGGTGAAGTTAGCAGGTGAGCGGCGACAGCAAGCCGTGTTGCTGGGGAGCGGAGATACCTACGGCCAATGACCCGCGCCTGCAGTGCGGCCTTGTTGCCCGTCTGCGAGGTGCCCTCCTCTTTGAGAATCTTTTTGAGGTCGTTGTTGATGAGTGTCTTGGAGCGCTCGGTGATAGTGGCAGCCATCTGCTGCATGCTCGTCGCCATGGTTTTGTGCCGTCGCGGTGGAGAGGCTGGCGATGTTGGAGAGGGAGGTCAAGGGCTACCGGTTCAGTTTTGCTCGCGAAGGCATCTGGGGCGGGCTATCTCAGGCACTCTCTCTCGGGCGGGTGACGTAGGGCGAGGTGAAGGCAGCGAAGGGCGATATCCGGCTATCTGAGGTGCAGTCGAGTCGGACGGGCGTTGGTCGCAACTTCCCAAAGCCCCCAGCGGCGATGCAGAGCGAACAGGACAGGCGGGCGGGACAGTCGCGGAGCAGCAAACAGGCGAGCAGAGGCCGCAATGCGACTTTTCTAGTATTCGGCCGTCGAGGTAGGCGGCGGCTCTCGCGGCGAGCGCATCTCCAGCTGGGATATACCGAAGTCAGCGTCACCTGCAACTAGGCGAAGAACGCGACTAGGGCACGGGCCGGCCTGGCTTGATACGCCAAACGCCTTGCCACCAAAATTCCTCGAACTTTTCCCCACCAGCCGCCGCCGACTTGACCAAGACATACGCCCAAACACCCATTCACCCACACATTCCCCGTCACTCTCTGCACAATGGCCAAAGGCGCACGCGCAAGCAGCAAAAAGGCGAACCGCACCAAGCTGCGCGCCCGAGTTTTCGGCCCCGTCGAGCAGGCACGCGCCGAGCGCCTGCACGCCAGACTTCTCGAGACGATTGCCCAGCCCAAGCCCGAGAGGACTGAGATGGAAACCGAAGAAAGTGAGTCGCCCAACTCTCTCCCGCCATATGCACCCTCTAATCGTGCCCCAGTCAACACCACCGACGATGCCGCCAAGGAGGACTTGCCCAAAGGTTCGTCTCTGCTTACTGTCCCCATGCCACGCTCCCTGTCCGATCCCTCTGCAAGTCCACTTGGCCCCACAGAAGAGGACTGCGAACTCGGGAACCTGTGTTTTCACCTAGGCCTGTGTTCAGACATCCTGGGCTTCACCGACGACGGCCATCTCAAATTCGCCTTTGACCCGCTTCCTCCGCACTGGTAGAGTGAGAATCAAGGGCTAACTTTGACTTGCTAGATATGGACGTCGACGCAACCGCCACCTCTGCGAAGAGCTCGAGCTCGCGCAAGACCAAGGACAAGAGCCAGACCCGGAAACAACTGCGACGCAAGCCCCAGAACAAGGTCTCCTTCCCTACTTCCCGAGGCAAGGGCGCACTGAAGCCCAATGGTGGACGTCCCAGCGGCCCCGGCCGCATCGGCAAACGACGAGCATGATTTCCATCCACGTATATCGGCGTTGTTCCATTGCATTTTCCGGCGTTTAAAATATTGCTCTACAGCACAGAGCTACGGTTTTGGAGGATACCATGTCCATGAGGACTTGCTTGAACAGTTTCGAGAATGTACATTTGTACATGCAGCAATCTGTTGACTGAGATTGCAGCCAGTCTAATTTAAACTACAGTGATTCAGCTGTTAATATTCTTCCTTAATTGTGCTTGCCGTGCTGAACGTATCTATACTTTGCACCTTCCTTACGTGATGCGCTAGGCCCGATATAGTGTACCTGCTCACCTGGGCAGGGAAACATCTCATCTTTCGCGCCTGCCTCTTGATTCTTCTGTCACTGCAGTCGACCCCACCCCACTTCCACCCTCCCCTCCAGCATGGCCAATTCCACTTTCCGCTTCCTCGATCTTCCGAAAGAATTGCGCCTTATCATCTACGAATACATCCCCATTACAACACGCCATCACGTTTGGGAAGACGCGGCAAGACATACTTCTTGGGGCGAGTTCCTGTCTGGAAATACCATTACACTAGTGGTCAAATCGATATCGACCGGGATACTTCTCGTTTCTTCTTCGATCCACGACGAGTGCAAGCCAATTCTCGACCGCAAGCTCAATGCTCTCCAAGTTGAGCCACTACGTCTCATCGTCGATAAGCAGAGTCTGTTGACCCTGACGAGACACAGGAACGAGGTGGGGCCTGCCCTGAACAGCCTTCTTTGGTGTCTGAAGGACTTCATGAGATTGAAGACTGGACAGAGCCACTCACAGTGCTGGGATGAGGGAAACGTTCAATTATCGGGTGTCATGTTCAACTTCAACTTCAATGGGCGAGAACATGCGCGCCTCATCGAATTCCTAAATTTGATAACGGGATTTCGTTTGAAGCGTTTGCCTCGCTCCAGCGTTATAGCTGTACGACACAAAGGCTTCTATAACGAGAGATTGCAAGTGAGCAACGACTTTGTCAACCCTGCGCGGCGTCCAATGGTCGGGTTTCCACCGCCTACTTGGACATACTATCCTCTGAAGCAGGATATGCAGCAAGACGAGTACAATATGAGGGACGACTTTACGGAACTGATTCGCGTATGCGGCAATGACCCCCACTTGAACTTTATCAAGTTCGTTGAGCCTGGAACGCCGGAAGAATGGGCTAGAGATTGGGAGGAGGGCGAATGGGCGACCTCGACCTAGGTACTATGAGCGATATAGTGACAAACCCGAAAAGGATACCCTGGCTACACTCTTGAGGCACAGAAAGCGGCGCTATGCATTTCCAATGAGCGGGATAGCAGGAGAGAAGAGGACAAATGTGACTTGCAACATTCCTACCGTGCTTTGCAACATAGCACGTCTGGATTTTCCTTGCCTTTATATATCTACAGACAGCTCAGGGTCGAAATCCACGTCTCCCAGCCCGCCAAGCAGTCCCCCGAAAAGACCTTCATTGATGCTCTGCAGTGTCCAATCATCAAGCGCCCCCGCATCGTTCGACGAATCAAGGAACGACCACCGATTGTCCCACTCCGTGAGTGATGACTGTGTCTGGTCAGGTACCTGAGTAGACAGCATCTCCTCAGCCAACGGGATATCGGAGGCTAGCCTGCGCTGTAGGCTGATGGTACCAAAATACGGCAAGTGAAGCTGCAAGACCGCCTTCTCAGCGTCCATGAACTGGCCATCAAATTCCGTCGCCAGCCCATCGTCTGTCTCACTAGCCGAAGTGTTGTAGCCAGTCCCATTTGCCGATGCCGCTTCGGCGTCGAGAAGATACTGTATGATACTCGATAGCTTCATGGCGAGAGCATCGTCGCTCATCTCCCCCAATACCTTGACTGTTAGCTCCATCAAAGCGCGATCGCTCGGACGGCTATGATCGAAAAGTGCTTTGTGCCGAATCATAGATTGGTTCTGCGAATCGATATGGGCCAAACACAGCACCATGAGGGCGACGAAAGCCAGACAATCGACTCCTCTGCAATAATACGGACCGCGTTTCCACTTGCGAAACGCGAGATATCGACTCATGATTTCGCGGGCGGCATGCACAGCTGTCGCTTTACTTTCTTCGCACCTATCGTCGCCCGAAGAGCGAAGAACATACGGTAGATGCAGGCGTATAACGAGATAGAAGTGCGACAGCTGATACATATTCCTTACAACCTCATGCATCGGATCCGAATCGCCCCCGTCCTTGTTGCCAAAGTCTCGAATAAGCCACCAGTCCGACGGCATCAGCTCCGTCACCTCCCTGAACATGTCGTCAATTTCCCGGACCCTTTTCTCCGTAACATCGCGCGGCTCTCCTACTTTACGCGCCAAGATACGATCTCCAATGACGCATTGCAGCCTCGCGATGCGGTCCAGCGGATGGCACTTTGCTATAACTTCAGCGCTCAGCCCGACTGTCTGCAGCGAAGACTGCGGCAGCCCCAGTGTCAACGAGAGGTAGCGATCCATCTCCACAATACGACAGCACAGCTGGTCTGGATCGAGGCTCTCGCGCGTCTTGGGATCCACCACCTTGATAGAAGCTCGCTTAGCGTTACCACGATGCAGACCCAACATCTGAGCTACGGCAACGGCGCGGCGCACAGTCAGCCACGCGCGGTGTAGGTTCCCAGCGTAGTTCTGGGTAATGGCTTCGATCATGATGCATTCGACGCCTTCAACAGAGGCGGTTAGCTCGTCATTTGAGGTCACCAGCCGTGTTGCTGTATCCATGGCATGAGCCATGACTTTACTGAGATGCTCTCGCTGGCTTCTGGGTATACAGTCATCGGATAGTGCGCCCTGCACTATATTGCTGAGTAGAAGGAGTTTCCGCGCTATCAGTACTGGATGTGATCCTGGTGGTGGTAGCTGCAATATCTTTCGTGGGCTATCTGGAACCTGGTTCATCAGGTTTGCAGATGATGTCGTTAATTTCATGTGCATGTGCGTGGAGATGCTGACGGGTAGCTTGCAGATGTAGTCGAGATCTTGGGTTGTGGGCCATGCTGCGACGAGGTCTCGAGAGATGCCAGTGTATATATCGCCAAGTACTGGTTCTGGTTGTTGCGAGAGATCTGCGAGTGTTGATGTGGTTTCTGTGGAGGCGGATGATGTGATCTTGATGTTTTTTGTGTGATCCTTGTGTGTGTCAGAGATGAATGTAGGATAGACCCCAGCACGCTACACATACTATTACGCTCCTCGGTCTCTCCAGGTCTGCATCTCCCGGATACTCGTCAGCAATGTCGTGGCGCCTGTCTGTCGACGATCCAATAAGTCGCTCAAGCAACGTCTCCACCCGACCCAAACGCATCTCTAATCCAGCATCTCCTCTCTTGTTCTCATTCGGTTCATCCGCAAACTCCTGACTAACACAGTCTGTCTTGCGTCGCACGCAGTTACTACATTTGGACTTGGTAGGTGATGCCCAGATACATCGGACTTTCCGTTTCTTACACTCCCAGCAACTTTGAGTACCTTTACGTACTTTACGCCGCTTTGCCGCTCTTTCATCTTCATGGGAGTTGGTTTGAGGTGACGGGGAGGGGGACGGGTGCATATTCGATTGTGTGTTGATGGAGGTTGGGGAGGGAAGTGACAAGAGTGGCTGGTGCAGTAGGGCAGTGGTGTTCGGCCGAAACCTCGGACGAAAGCTCCGGACGGGTTACACAGTAAAGAGAGTACATTGTTCGCTATTAGAAACCTACTACTACTGCAGTTAGTCATCGCCATCGCATTACCCCGAAGACCGGCTGCGCAACATGGTTCATACGACTGCCTCATCACGGCTTTCCCTTCCACGCCTCCCGCAAGAAAGTCCTCACATCCGTGAACTCATAATCGGGCAACAATTGGTTCCATTCGTCTCCCACATCGAAGGCGCCTGTCCCGAACGCCCGAATGAAGCCAGTCACTACCATCTTCGCGAACTCCTCAGCCTTCTCTGGTGGAATGGCATTGTGTTGGAATTTCGGGTACCAGGAGGCAGTCCAATTCCCGTTCTTCAAGTCCTCATTGGAGATTCTTTCAATGGCAAAAGGCCCACCTACATAATCCTATCAGTAAAGATGATGGCAGTGGAATAGCTTATGTGAGCTCGGAAAAGACAAAATACTAACCTCTTAGCTCTTCCCCGAGAGCAATGAGCTCCTTGACTGAGATGCGCGAGCCTCGGATGCCACCTACGACCGGCCATTCGCCCTCGTAATCCACTGCGCGCGCGACCACGCCTGCAAGATCTTGCACCGTGGTCAAAGTGATGGTATCATCATCTCCACCTTCTCGCAAGATGGCCCTACGATTCTGGAAATCCCACATGACATGAAGTGGCGTGAGGTGCTCGGCTGACTTGTACGGCACGGTCAAGTAATTGGAAAAGAGACCCGGCTGGAAAAGACAGTACTCGATGACTTTCTTGTTTTTGTTGATCTCGGCCAGATATTCGCGGATGCTGATTTTGAACGAGTACCAATCCATGTGCTCTGTGGTGCGTCTGGGATTTCGTTAGGATATATCGGATTGAGCGGTGATAGTAGCAACTTACGTGACCCATTCGCTGGGCGCGAAACGCTTTACCCCGGCCCTGATCGAGGCATCGATGAGGTTCTTCTGGAAGGAAACCCCTTCTTGCAGGTCGTGCGGCGCGATGAAAGAAAGAACCACGTCTACGCCTTGTAGACGGCTAGTTAGTTCGTCTAGGTCTTTGTAGTTGGCTTTGACCGATTTGACGGGCGAGTCGGTAGTCTCGACTGGAACGTCCTGGAGAGACGTTAGTATCAAGCAAAATAAGCAACATGTAGTATTGACCTTGCGCGTGAAGATTACAATCTCGTGCTTCTTGCTGGCGAGGAGAGCAGCGATGCACTCTTGCCCTACGTCTGTGAGGATGTTAGTCCGTCCAGTCGGTACAATAAGCGCGACACCCACCTCCAGCACCGCCTGCGATTGCGATTTTGACCATGTTGGGCAATGAGGTCGCGTTTGGTGGACTGGCGTGAAATGGGTGGTGTACTGTTGATTTGGTCGAAAGTAGTTTTCTTGCTAAGTGCTTGTGATATTCTATTGACCGCGCATGTTGTTTCTCTTATACCAGAGAGAAGGCCGACTTTTCGGCCGAATGGTGTAGTGTCTCGCTGGTGCGTAGTTGGTCCCCCGAGAACTCGGTGTAATGATTGCAAGAAAAGCTAGCGACTGTATGCTACTCGTGAGTAATCAATATACTCCTAACGAGTGATAGTCGCTACGTTTTCTCGTCCGATGTTGATCAACGTCTTCCGTATCCTGGCAAACTCCCGCAACTGGAGAATTGAGAGCTTCTCTTGGACTCGGGGTTGCAACACAGTTGCTCCGATCGAAAGTTAGTCGTAGCACAATTCACTCCGAAGTCCGCTCGAGAAGCTGTGCAACCGTGGCGCTGCCAGAACCCGCTTTTGGTGGTTTGCACAGCAGCAATACCATCACAAACACGCCAATCTTCAAAGGCTAAGCCGTATGAAACACTTTGGAAGAAATCCATGGTATATTGAGCATGTTGAGGCTCCTTGCTCTCTTCAACAAGCACTTCCAAGTACCTGCACGACTGATGGCTGGCTTCCAGTCGCGCGATTTCGTTCAAACACCAATGGGCATTTGATTTCCTTGGGCGTATATTGCGTCGAAAAGATATTGGACGTGAACTCGATTGAACGTGGTACGGATTTATGTCCAACGACAGATTTAATCGATTGGTGCCGGAAGTTATGTCCCAGATCCAGAGATGGAGCGACGTATAGCGTGGGTTGTAAGACTGTGAGTAGTACTTTGCTTACTTGCTCCTCAAACCGATGATTTCGTGCACACAATCCACTTACATAGTCAAAAAAATCGAAAATTCATCTTCAGCAATCAACGCCGGCGGCATCATACAGCCACCCCGCGACGGCCACGAGCGCAAAAAGATGGACTTGCAGGGAATCGAACCCTGGACCACTCCCATGCTAAGGGAGTATTATACCACTAAACCACAAGCCCGGTTGTTGAGATGCTGCTCAAATTTGAAGCGAATTGGTGATTCGCTGATTGATGGAGGTTTGCCAAACAGGTGTGTTTATAACTCGCATCTGTGATGGTGACGTGTAAGAACGGCGGCGCCAACGGACTCGCTGGGCTATGTGGGACGAATAGGGGCATCTCTCCCATGCTACGGCATGTCCCGGTAGCGAGAACGTCGGCGATGCGTTTGCCACTGTTAAAGAAAACGACAGATACGATACTACAATCTTAGAGTTGTCATGAGCCAAAATGTTGCTCGTTGGGTACATCGCCATGGCCAATGATGTCCGAGTAGTCCTTCGTGCGGTCGAGCTGATGCCGGTTCGCCGAACTTTCGGGCAAGTGGAAACCCACTGCGCTTGGCTATTTCCAGCTGAGAACGATGCATCCCAACGCTTGCATGTCGTAATGTTTCGATAAAGTCTCCGTGTTCATAAGTAACGGTGGTCGTTCTTGCTGAGCGATCGCACTGCATCCAGCAGGTGCGCATAGCTGTTTGCGACAAAGGTCGACATTCCTTCGATATCGTATACAGCTGGCGTATTCTGGAGAGGCTGTTTGCGCGATACAACGCGCCTTGTAGTAGTCGCGTGCGACGAGCGATCGCGATTCCGATGGAGAGTAGTTGCGTGTGGGATGCAGATGGTTGGTGGACGTCGGGGAGCTAGGTGGATTGGCGTCGGTAGCTGCCTGGCACCTGCCAAGCTCCAACCTTTGAGACTCATCTTCACCACTCACACTTCACCGCCGATAAATAGGAAGCGTGTCTTATGTCAAAAGTCAAATGTAGCCATCCATGGATGTTGGCTTTATGTTCAGACGTCAGATCAACTCTGGTAGCCCATCTAGTTTTCTCTATCTATCGCATTGTCCAATTTCACATTTATTCCACACCCATTCTTTCATCCTCGATTTAATCCAACTACCCATCTGAATCTTCGCTAGACTCGTCACTCGACAGCTCCTTCTCTTCAAACACTCCGTCAAAGGTCTTGAGGCTCCATCTTGACTCCATCTCTTCCGGTTCCAGGTCTTCGCTAACCTCGAAACGCGCATCCTCGAAATCCTGAACAATGTCTTCCACATCCGCGTCAACCTCTTCTGAGCATTCAATTGTCACCGCGAACTTGGGACGATACATGCCGGAGTCGGAAACGTCCCAGCGGGGATTGATGATGTCTTCGATGGCAGAGGGGAGCAGTTCTACAAATTCCTCGCAAGCTGCGTCATGCCCAATCCAGACACCGACCTCGATTCGCTCGTTTGTCTTGAGGTATAGATTTGCGAGGCGCATCCACATCTGATACATAACTGCGCCCATCCGAGCTTGCTCGATTAGGCTTCTGCGGGTGAATACGGTATCGAAATTCTCACGCTCGTCATCTGCCAGTCCCATGTTTGGTGAAACATAGCCTTTTCGGGCATTTCGAACATCGGCAAGGACTTCAGGGACGAAGTGGAAGTAATCACAGTCTGCGATGAGCTGAGCCGGGCCACACTTCTGGGTTTCCTCGTCGATGACCTTTTCAGCTTCGTTTCGGATTGCCTTTGACACAGCGACTATAGCGCGTTCGATATAAGAGAATCTGACGACAACCACCGGTGTTCTGATCTTGTCTCGTCGCGCTATTGCGTACTTCGTGGTACAGTGGAGGTTTTTGTAGACCGCGGTGCGCAGCTCGGCTGGTAGTCTTTCGAACGGAAAAGGAGTGTTCGCCATGTCCTGGGTACTGTCAGCAATCTTTCCAGTGGCGCGCGTGTACTGAAAGTGGAGTGAGGCAAGGTTCGGTGTGTAGTAGGAAGGCGTGGGTTGCGCACATAGATCATCGAAGCCTCCGCGGTCCTTGATGAGCTCGTGCAAAGAAGAACGAATACCACTGAAGACTTACGCGCAAGGTAGAACTGATACAACAGTGGGTAAGCGCGGTAAATGCACTTGCAGTTGATCAATCTGTGTATTAGACACTCAACTTGGTCCCGGTTGGCAGGCTTGTTTATATACTCGAGCGGGGTATCGCCACGAGAGTAGACCGACGCATTGACTCCGCCATTTGGTAGGCAGTCAAGGTATAGTCGTCTTATTCATTCCTGCAGCCCTTGGTGTTCATATGTCTGTCGTGGGTTTGCTCTCCGGCCCATCGGCCGGGTCACGAGAGCGCGAGACTCCACATGATCTTGTCATCGCAAACTTTCGAGATACCGCGCGCTACACTTCTGTTCGAAAGCAGACACCGATAACTCTTTACAGTATCAGACGGGCCAATAAGCTCCCGAAATCAGTCTCTTGTACTATGAAGGAGCAGCGCAACACTGGACAGCCATGAAAAGTGGATTTAGCGTTTCGACTCATATGCCCAGATCTGGAATAAACATCCAACAATACTCTGGAATCTAGTGACAGTTCGTATACTACCTCGTTTCTTCATCTTGTTTGTTCGAGTCATTTCTTATTCATGTCAACGTTCTCCCAAGCGGACGACAAACATTTGTCTCGCACTCTTGATGGTGATGGCAAATTGAGCGCTAGTGATTATCGAAGACGTTACAGAAAGGAGACTAGCCTAGTTCAGGAGCACCACCGGACTCTTTATCGCTTGCGTTGTTCCTCGATCTAGCTCAAAATCACCACTATTGGTAGGAGATTGTGAATGAACGAAATAAGAACTACTGCTGATCTTCAGCCCCGCCAGTAGTAACAGCCTGGGAGTGTGGCAAGAAAGCTAAATAAAGCCAACCGACACCCGAAATTGATAACTCATTATGAAACTCCTGGACAAAAGGAACGATAACGTTGGCTCGATCTCAAGTATTTATAAGGGACTTTCGCAACCATCGCAGTCCGACGGCGTGAAGTGTCGTCGGATGATGCCCGACGTTTACAAATAATATTAGTTCGCTCCCTGATCGACTTCGCCATCCCCGTACCGGGTATCTGGATTACCCCAGAACACGTGGAGGGAGACCTCAAAATTCGGCTCGGTCTCGATCGGCAAAGCTCTAAGCAAAAGCAAAGTGACGTCACACAGCGCAGGAACGTCCAACCCGCTTGATTAGCCTTGCTTTCCCCGTGAAATCCACCCAAGCGCCCATCTGCAGGGGCCACCCGTGTCACTGTAAATAACTACCCTTGATGCGGCTAACGCGACGCTGCGAAAGGGTGGTATTGATACACCTGCAAATCTGCCGAGGCCAACGCTCGACATCTTTACGCCCCACAACGCGAACACGAGACCGCTGATTAACGCTAGGGGCCAACGACCATGACGATCCGGATACCTTTCCACGGAGGAGGTCCTGTAGGCGCGTGACTCTTAGACTATCTTGTTGACCGCAACAGAGGTCCGACTGGTGAAGATGACTCCTAGGCAAGTTACTCGAAACTAAAATCGTCAACCAAAGCGCGTTTGAGACTTGAGCTGATTCGAGGCAGTTGGAAGCATTCTTCCCCAGTCATGCCGTGGAAACTAACAATATGTGGCTGAAGTCAAGAACGAACGTTTCCGGACGATGCTGCAGGAAGCTTGCATATCCGGCTGACGGACGGCTTACAGCAACCGTTAAGCTGCGAATAAGGCAACCTTCCCACAGACATGGCTTGCTGAACTATGTGTTCTCCACCGTCAATACGAGACCTTTTCAGGATGCTAACGCCACAACGGCCCGCTGCGGAAGGACAGTGCCGGCGACCGAATACGATGGCTTATGGTAAGCATATGGGGTTGGTGGCAAGCAAGTCAGACGTAACCCAGTTGCGAGGCTGAGAAGAAATGATAAGTTTGGCACGTCATCACATCGCGTTAACAACATGGTCACGCCTCCAGTATGCATCTGTCCCCAGACTTCCTACCTAAATGGAGAGTAGTCGGAGGAGTCTGAACTAGCGGGGTGTGTTGACAGTTCGAGTAAGGATCCGCGCGCCGGGCCGCTTCGCAGGTCAGGGTGAAGGGCCAACTGCTCGAAAGCCTCCTGTTCTTGGACTTGTTTATTTCCGCCTCTTCTTCTGAGACCGCCTCAGTTCGGCTAAGCCCTTGCAATTTCAACGCGTCCTGCTCTCCGCGAATGGGAGTTATATCTCAGTCTCTGGCCTTCGCACTTGGGATCAGCCGAAAACATTTATTACACCTCCTTCTTCATATGGCCTAAAGTAGGTCGCTGACTGTCCAAATACTAAAATATGTTTTAGCCCCTCATACTCTCCCCGAATCTTACGAAGCTGCCATGGTGTCAGGCGGCAGGCAAACCCCCAGCCAGCGAGCCGTTTCGATCCACCTTGCAGAGAACCCGTGGCCGCCTGATCATACTAACAGTGTGCTATGCATCAACTTCACTACTACTATAACTAGTCTACACAAACGCGGACGAACGATGTGACTTCATTACATGTCCTCGTGCGACATCGTGAACGCTACCCCTGCCATACTCGACTGGCTTACAAGTTATTCGAAAGATCTTCAGACAGAAGGCTACATTTGGGGGCTAGCGACTCCGTCGACTTGAACGCGGGACCGGTGAAGTATCTCGGATTGGGTGACTGGCTTGCGCCTCTGTCGTCAGCTAGGGGCCCCTTTGGCAATTTGCCTCTTGGAGACTCACGATGCAGTGAACTACGTGCCGTCTAGTACGATCAGCTGGAGGCCCGTGAATAAGTTAAATAGTCCTCTGGTCGCACAGTGTAACAGTCAAGCAACTGGACATTCATTCCAGCAGCTCCATTCCAGGCACCCTTTTTCGTTCCAGGCTGGAAAAAGCAACTTCGTTTCTCCATCCAATCATTGCAACTCCACCATAATGAAGAGTTCGTCTCTTTTGGCTTGTTTGTTCGCGGCCGGCGCACAGGCATGGATGCCCGCGGACCGCGATCTTGCTGCCTTCAACCGCACCACCGGCGACCTGAGCAAACGTGCCCTTAATCTTCCTAGTTCGAAGATTCGAGGAGTCAACCTCGGTGGATGGCTACTCTCGGAGCCATGGTTGATGAATCAAGAGTGGTCAGAGATGGGCTGCGGTGACTCCTGCTCCGAGTTTGACTGTGTCAGCAAGCTTGGACAGTCTCAAGCGAATGATGCATTCGACGCTCATTACGCTCGCTGGATCACACCAAGCATGATTCAATCCATGCACGATGCTGGTTTGAACACCATTCGCATTCCGATTGGATATTGGAGTCTTCACAGCCTAGTGGGTAGCAGCGAGCACTTCCCCGAGATGAATCTGAAGTATCTTGACGATATTATCGACAAGGCTGCAGGACTGGGAATGTTCGTCGTTATTGACCTCCACGGCGCTCCCGGGTCGCAAAAGGTCGGCGATGCATTTACTGGACAGGTAAGCTTTCAACACTCCAATATTCCTCGACTCGACTCTAACATCCACCACAGTGTCTCCCTGAAGCGTATCTTCCAGGATTTTTTTCACAAGCCAACTATGACCGCGCAGCCAAGTGGCTTGACTGGATGACGAAGCGTATTCACAACACTCCTTCATACAAGGCCGCAGTCGGTATCATTGAAGTCGTGAACGAGCCGCAGACATCGCGTGATAAGGGCGGTATGCCCCAAGCCGAGAAAGACACTCTTACTCAAAAGTACTACCCACAAGCCCTCAAGGCTGTCCGAGACGCCGAGAAGACTCTTAACATTCCCGACGAACAGCGTCTCCACGTCCAATTCATGGACTCCCTATGGGGCGCCGGTAACCCAAAGTCCAACCTCCCATCAGACTCCAAGGTCATCTTTGACGATCACAACTACGTCGGCGGAGCTGTAACGGCGATCAACCCCGACGCCAAGCAGGGCGATTACATGTACTACACATGCCACACTGACAACCGCCTGACCGACGGCGACACCCCCAAGATCGTCCAAGAATGGAGCCTCACCGTCAACAACGAGTACAGCACCGAGTTTGACTGGAAGCTCGATTCCACAACACAATTCTACAAGGATTGGTTCATTGCCCAGCAGCGACTGTATGAGAAGACTGAGGGCTGGATCTTCTGGACGTGGAGGACACAGCTCAACGATCCACGATGGGACTACAGCTACCTGATCTACAAGAACTGGGTACCCACCTCCAAAGCAGGACTGGATGCTAGCGCCAACAAGGACGTCTGCGCGACGTGGAACCATAGGAGAAGGAGGACACGGGGCAGGCAGTAGGCAGTAGGAGTGTTGTGGTGTCTACTCATGCTCGCGGCGCCGCGCATGAAGGGGTTTAGTAAATATTCTGTTGTCTTCTAGTGCTAGTTAGCCGTACAGGCTACCGTTAGCAGGAATCTTTTCCGTGTAACGAAATCTTACATTTGTATCATACCTTACACAACAGTCCCGTCCTGTCTCCGATCATGATGCATTGCGCTCTTCGGCTGCATTTGCTAACAGTGTCCACGCGAGCACAACTGCAGTGATCTTTCCCCTATCCTAACATATCGCCACAGCACCAAAGGTAGAGACTCTATGCCAAGGTGATCGCGACTCCTGAAACCCAATGAACGAGCGGTGAGAGTCCATCGTGTGATCCATCATCGTGCGACGAACGGTCACGATCGACACACGATTTTATATCAGAGATCGAGTTCCTTCCCGTAGATCAGTGTGGTCAGGCGACTGAGGAGGTCGACGAGCCATTTTGACCGGGTTGCGTTAGCCGCGGCGGTCGTGTGCCGATGTTGACCGTTTTCAGAGGTCAGATGGTTATGTCAGCTAGTGTAACGGGAGAGGAACTACAAAGTACATGTAGGACAGACATCGGGAACAGGCGATGTAGATCTAACGGAGTAAACGGAGATGAGGTTTCTCTTGGTAGGCCGTGTGGTGTTAGCGGGGACCACATTTGTGCTGTTAGCTGACATGAAATCTCGCTGTGAGAAAGTACCTTCTAATTCCGCTGGGTCTTGACAGGACGTGATCGATCGAACTTAAAGAGGCTGGTACAGCATTATGCACTTGTTCAACCTCTCGTTTCAAAGGCGAAAGTGGTGAGCCTTAGTTTCGCGAAGCTCTTGTGGAAGGCGGTTGTGAACGTCTGTAACGATGTAACAATTCAATTCAACACTGCGCAGGGGAACCGCAGAGCTGCATCTAACACCAGACCCAGGCCATAAAGGCGGTATATCGTTCCAAACGCCTGTATTGCAAACCCAAAATGCAAAGATGGAAACGCCGAACTATTTCCGTAAACACCGGTCCGTGAGTGCGTACGCAATCCTAAAGTACAAAGAATTATGAGATATTAACAGGCCATGTCGGGCACGGTTCGTCGTTAGTCGTGACTTCAGAGGCGTCATAAACGCATGGGCAAAAGTATCAGAATATCTGAAAGACAGGGACGTCAGGCTAGCTGACGCTCTGCGAAAGAGCTGAAGATAGATGAGACGCAAACTTGGCGTCAATGCCGTCTTCCTGTACGCCGAGGCCGAGGCCTATACCACTATCGTCATGGTTTGGCTCTTGTTGGGAAGTGTTCATGTCGTACTCGTACTGAAAGCTCATGTTGTATTGTGATGATGGTTGAGTAAATCGTCCAGCATTGACTGATGATCTTGCGTTAGTCAACTACCATGTGAGGCTAAGTTGTGAATGAATAAACTCACCTTCCTGATTTGATCCATTGTCCTGGATGGTGACATGGCTAGCGTTGGAGATGAAGGATTGATCTGGTCCAAAGTCGGCTTCCAGGCTGCTATACCTGCTCTCGTTGTTGCTGCCGCTGCCACCGTTCGTCATGGCCGCATTGAGGGATTCACCCATTACAGGCGAGTAGTTGGACGAGCTCCAGTCTGGGGGCGCATGGCCTAGAAACCCACCTAGTGATGCTAACCATTGCGCCATCTCATCCACGAAGACCTTGGTGAGCCACCAACCTTGGAAACTGATTCCATTCTCGACGGTAATCTCGCGTATGGCGGCCGAACCAAGCGCACTGATGCAGTGCATGATCGTGCGAGCGTGTGCGCCAGGAAAGCGGGACGGCAATTGTGTCAAGAATGCTGCGATACGATCGATGACGGACTCTGAAGGATCTGCGGGTGGGTCGGGATATGCTGCGCGATGAATGGTACCGGAAGGCAATTGGATCTCTTGTGGTAGCGGGCCTAGCATCGAGCGGATCTCGGTAGTTAGGATGTTGTAAACCTCCTCGTGCGCACAGGAGGCGGGCAATTCGTTGGCAATGATGCGTTTGATGTTGACGTGCTCCAGCCAGTCAGCAAACATCTGGGTGCGATGGCTCTCTGCGGTGAGCATGACGGCTGCTGCGTGTGCAGCGGAATTTACACGAAGCATCTGTCGAAGAAGATGTGCGAACAATGTAGCGGGTTCCAGCTTTGCTTCGAGTACATGTATGGGTAGCGGCGCGAACTTGGCGGCAATATGTGCATGCAACGTCTTTGCAACGTTGTCGAGGAATTTTAATACTGCCGGTGGCGCTACCTGAAGGGTGAGCTGGGAAACGTTGCGAATCATCTTCTGGTACATCATCCAGTCGCACTCCTTGATCCATGGAGCCAGTTCGGGCGAAGCGAACAACTTCTGCACTGGCACAGTTAATGTCCCGTGGAAAGTACCAAAGAGGCGGAAGAATTGCTTCTCCTTGCAGTATCGCACTGAGTCGACCAGCGAAACGACATGTGAGCGGTACATGGCGACGAGATTATCGGCGGAATCGGGATCGGTACGCGCTGGTAAATAGGGTTTAATGTCTGGCAATTCGACTACGAAAGCATCTGGAGCTTCGAGGATATCTGGCGTTGGAAACTTGAGCTCGTGCTCGTACGACGTCTTGGTACGCGCGTGAGATGGGTAGAAATTGGAGGAGTAGATGTCGGTGAACAAGACGCCGCGGGACGAGGCTGGAGTGTAGTAAGTGTTCTGCGGCTCCACGCGTGCCTCTCGTGGTGGAAAATGTGCGCTGTCTGCAGGTAACCGGGGGATAGCACTGAAGCTGTTAGCAATTGACACACCAAGTTGTGGAAGTCACATACTCAAGGTTGAGTCTCGGTGTCCCAGAAGCCTGACGCTTCATAGCATGATGGGCAGCGGGGCCGTTGCTGCCCCGACGTGCCTCTTCGCCACTGTCGTTGTCGTTGATGAGTTCGAGATCGACGTAATGGTACTTGGACTCTCCGCGAACACCGAGGCGCCTGGTCTGGATGCCGGGGAAAATGACGCGAACGAGCTTGCCGAAAGATGCTGGGTTCAGGGGGATAACGCGATCGGTGCCGCAGCGCTCTGCGTACTTGGAGTAGACGCGGTTGCGCGGTACTGACGTCTTCGCAACACGGCAGACAGACTGTAACCTGGGGCGCGTTAGCACTGTTCCTGCGTGGAGGCGAAGTACCTACCATAACATGGCGAACAGTTGTTTCGACTTCTCTGCCTTGGATGTTCTGTCATTCTGGATGACCTCAGCTGCGACCTCCTTGAGGTTGCGGCCTTCGTTCTGGTTCAGCAGCTGGCGCAATTCCTTGTCGTTGGTCGCGGCACCTGAGGTCGACGGCCTTTTTTTCTTATCCTCCGTATCCATCGGCGGCGCCATGAAACTGTGTTGCTGCGAATGTTGTGAATGCTGAGAGAGGGAGTTCTGGTAGGCATGGTGATCGGGTTGTGCGGGCTGACCGTTCGGTTGAGGGTGAGACGCGGTTGGGTCGGCTGGGTAACCAAGATACTGCTGAACACTCTCCAGACTCATGTTGATAAGCTGGTCCTGCGCGCTGACCTGTTGCGCGGCTTGGAGTAATGCAGGCTGTAACGCTTCACTGGTAGTGAATGAAGCATGATACTGCGGCTGCTGGGGAAATTGGTTGGGCCGCGTTTGCTGCGGTTGTTGGAATTGCTCGAACGAATGCACGCTCGTCGTCGACGCGCGTGAAAGAGGACGATTGCTTCTCGTAGACATTGACGTATTCGATCGTGACCGGCGGATATCGGTCATGTTGCGGACGCCGGCTGGCAGATTTTCCGTATGTTTACACCAAAACAATGCGATGGCAACGGCGCTGAGGAGGCGGCAACACAGTCGGCAGAGTGTCTAAAGTACGCGACGGTAATCCCAAGAAGACCAAGGTGTCGTGAGTAGGCTGATGGCGCTGCTCGCGTGTAGCTCGAGTCTCAGCTGTTTTCGGGGCTGGCGGGTTTGTTTGTTTGGGCCAGGGACTAGCTCAACACGTTGTTCCGGCAGATAGGATGTCACCAACGTGGTAGAATGCTCCGCAGAAGAATATCCGGCTCCAGCAAGGGTCGTAGGCGTCGTCGGTCGCCCTCGAGCGGGTTTGTTGTGGGATAGGAATTGGATGTTTACGCTTCCGTCTGAACTCGGTCACGCCTGCAGCAACGGAGACTGGCCGGCGCGCTTGGACCTCAACGGTCACGTGCAAGTCGTCATAATGCCCGTGCAATCGCACTACTCTCTAATTGCCAATGTAAAGGAAAAAGAGACAGGTGAATGCGACATTACCAACTCCCGGGATATGGCTTCGTCGAACGGCTGGACCGATGCACGCGATCTTGTCTCATCGGCATGCCATTGCTGCGTTCTGGCTGGCTCGTGAAAGGCGGTGACGTATTTAGCGATGACGAGCCCACTTCCTCCATCCCACAATCTCCAGGCTCCACGTTCCTGCTCCTCTCTACCTACTGAACACATTGCAGCCCTTCTGCTTCTTCAACCACAACCCGTTGCATCCCACCCTTTTGCAACCCATCACACCCAACCTCCCAACAGCCCTCAACATGTCTGTCCAGGATAGAGCCCAGGCCCAGCTGTCGCAGCTCGACAAGGAGGTAAGCGCTCTCGCTTCTGCACAAGGCACAATTGTCAAAATACGCCTTGTCCCGACGATTCCGACAGGAAAAGCAACGGTTTTGATATGAGGCTACGTTCACTGACGATGTCGTGTTCCAGCTGTCCAAGTACCCCGCACTCAACAACTTTGAGAAGCAGACGTCGGTCCCCAAGGTCTACATGATCCTTGGTCTCGCCGGTCTCTACTTCTTCCTGATCTTCTTCAACATTGCCGGAGAGTTCCTCGTCAACATTGCTGGTTTCATCATTCCCGGTTACTACTCGCTCGAGGCTCTCTTCAGCGCCAGCAAGGTCGATGACACCCAGTGGTTGACTGTATGTTTACCCCACTTTCTCATCGCTGGCAGGACAGCTGGCCAAATTATGTCCACAACAAATCTGGGATGGGGCTAATGCGATGCCGCAGTACTGGGTTACCTTTGCCTTCTTGACCGTCTTCGAGAGCGCTGTGAACGCCGTCTACTGGTTCCGTAAGTACACCCATATCGTCTGCATGATCCGCAACTGACGTCCGCAGCCTTCTACTACACCTTCAAGTTTGTCCTTATCCTCTGGATGTCTCTTCCCCAGACTGCGTATGTAGCAGCCCCGTCGCGCACATTAATACAAGCTTACACTCCCTAGTGGTGCCCAGATCGTCTTCCGCTCATTCCTTCAGCCCGTCTTCTCGCGCTACTTCTCCGCGACAGGCTCCACCGCTGCCGACCTCCGTGCCAAGGCCGACTCAGCTGGCAAGCCTCATGCCTCGTAGAGCAGTCGCGAGCATAACACTCTTCTGACAGTCGCACGGCTAGACGATAATGATAAGGACGAAGTTCGGGATATAACCTCTGCTGTGCATGAGAGACCCAGCTTCTCAAGGTGTGCGGCTGTTGCAGCTTGGAAACGCTGTATGGACAATGGTTTACGAGCTACGGATAGCGTTCATGACAGGGTTGAAGTACGAAAGAAGAGGCAGGCATCCTTACGTTTCATGATCATTTGCCCATAAGGGAACCAATCGGGTAGGAAGTTGTGGTCTTTGGCAGTGGGTTTTGGTGAATCGCTTGCGAGCAATAATATGATGTACCGAGTCTGGCTAGCCCTCTGGCTAGAATCAGTTACATATTCATTACCATTTTCAATCAAGGTCTCATATTCATGTTTACGGAAAGGAAACTTCAGTGACTTCCCTGATGACTCAAGTACAAGAGTTGTCTAAACAACCATACGCTATAATGGATGGATCTGAAGTTGCTGGCTATCCGTAGCGACTGAGATCCCGTTATATTATCATACCCAGCAACATTACATTGCCTGCGATAATTGTTGATGGAACATACATTACTGTTGAACAACTACAGTTTGTCCCAGACGCATTTGGCTTTGGCGGCTGAAACACGTGCGGCATCCCCAGATTCCTATTCACCATGAGTCCAAGATGGCTCTAGATTAATTCGTCTTAAATGTAAACAGTAGGCCAGATCTGATAACTTCATGCCTGTTATCAAGGTGTTTGATTGAGTCGTCATGATGTCTACTATCATTATACAGACTACGACCGAATGGGCGCCAAGAGAGCATACATAGGTATAACAACCGCTCAGTCAATGGTCTCAGGCCCTCATGGCGCGCTGATGAGCCAAGATTAAGGATTTCCTCAAATTGTAGGGTCCAGAAATGTGGCTCGTGCAGGTTGGCACCAATAAGACCCGAGTAGCTCTGATTATGTAATGACCTTAGCTCGCGACAGTTGCCTGGGTTCCATCAGGAGACTTGACCGCTCCTCCTGAGACACCTAACCGCCATCCCGCAACCATGAGTGAGGATTCTACTGACGACTCGATGTCCGACAACTCGATTCCCGACGACTCGACTGCTGACGACTCGACTGCTAACAACTCGACTGCTAACTGGAACTCGATCTCCAACAACGACATCCGTTCTAGGACTGCTGCAAAAATCTCTAAGTACGCTGCAATTAGTTCTAAGAACACTGCAATTAGTTCTAAGACTGCTGCATCCCTTTCTTAGACTAATGCATCTTTTTCTTAGTCTGCTGCATCTCTTTCTTAGACAGATGTATCCCTTTCTAAGGCTAAAATATCCCTTACTTAGGATAATGCAATCTGTTCTAAGACTGCTGTTATTAGTTCTAGGATTACTACAATCCGTTCTAAGACTGCTGCAATCCGCTCTAAGACTGCTGTAATCCGCTCTAAGACTAATGCAATCCGCTCTAAGACTAATACAATCTGCTCTGAGACTAATGCAATCCGCTCTAAGACTGATGCAATCCAGTCTCAGACTGAGACTGCTGCACCAATAAGATTACCTAGTAGAAACCCTGGGAGAACCCAGCGTCATTCCCTAGCCATGAACGATACGCCTTCAACATCGTCCGACTCCGAGGAGGGTTCTACATTGGACAACTCTGAGGAGGGTTCTACATTGTCCGACTCTGAAGAGGGTTCTACATTGTCCGACTCTGAAGAGGGTTCTACATTGTCCGACTCTGAAGAGGGTTCTACCATGTCCGACTCTGGGGAAGCTTCTACGTCGTCCGACTCTAAGGAGGAAGAACACTCCGATACCTGCAGCAGCGACGACATGAACGAAGACGAACGACAGTACTACGAAGACCTTGCGCTAAACCCACGTCAGCCCCCGTCATTTGACCGCTTCCTCGATCTACCAAAGGAGCTGCGTCTTATGATCTACGAATATGCCGCGGATTGCCGACGTCGCTTTCGATTCGTGAATCGAAACGTTGCCATCACAAACTACAAATCCATAACGCCCATCCATCTCACGTGTCGAGCAATTTGTGGGGAGGCTGCACCTCTGATGAAATCTATCGTTGAAGCACAGCGAGTCCTCCCGCAAGCAATGCGAGTCCCCCGTATCATCGTTAATGGATTGAAATGCGATGGATTGGACGATAACAGTGAGGTTATCAGCAAAATTAGTAGCGTGTGCGAAGAAGCCAGATCAAAGAAAGTCAGCGTAATAGAGGTGGACATTATCATGCGGGAAAGGGATGAATGCGAATATGGTGAAACGTACTGGTCATACTACGAATACTGCGAGCGAGCATGCGAGGTCTTTGCCAACTTTGCCAACTCCGCGGCCATGTATTTCGCTCGGCACGATCATACGAACTCTCCTTCGTCATCTTTTCCCCGATTGTCCAATGATGAGGTCGTAGTGTATGTCGCGTTGGTAGATACTCCGATTGAAGAAACTTCGGTTCTCAAAGACATAGGATACGAAATGCAACAGCATGTCGGTCCGTGTATGGACTCTACCGAGGACATCCAATGGGAATACTCGGTCATTGGGCCCGAAAGATGTGACAATGAAAAGCACAGAGTCGTCCTGTATGATGTAGGGCGGGAGCCACGGGAATGGTACCAAAGTCCTCTTATTAATGTCTACTACGGTGGCGTTATTGATGAAGAAACATGGGAGCGGGACTGGACATAATGCGCTAGGGAACTATGGAAAGGATCCATTACGGTACGGATGTTGAGAAGGGGGTGTAAAAAGGTTGAACAGCGTTCAAGATGCTCGTGATACGCTTTCGATCGGTACGGACATGGGTGGCACAAACTTGCTCGTGTTTCTTTCAAGGTTGTGCCTTGTTGGTATTATATTTTTCTGCTCCAGAAAGATGCCAACGAAACCCACCCTAGGGCCTTAATAAAACTTTTGAAGATGTCATCTCCTCTTTTCCCACAGAATTCAATTTGCTCACCTATCAGTGTCTGTGCTAGATTGCTTTGCTAGGATTAGGCTCCGGAAGCTCTTCAAGCCATTTAGCGTAATAATTGGTCTCTCCTAGACCATTTTCACTGACGTCTTCCGGGATTGTGATACCCTTGGCACGATAAAGTTTCCCGACTGTTGGTATTGGCGCGCCTTCTAACAATTTGGCGTACACAGGAAATCGTGCATCACGATCAACCTCAAGATACGTGACTAAGACGGACTCGAACAAAGGCTTGATGCAAGCATAGGTGACGCGGCCCTCAAACTTTCAGCAGATGCCAGTCTTCAGACTAGCAGGTTCCGGATTCCTCGCCAGTTCGATGCTCTTGATGTCGTGGATGCTGCTGTAGAGACCGGGACTGCAGAACTTGCCGACGACTTTATACATCTTATAAAGCATGTCTGGCAACTCCTCGTACAAGGACGCAGTAGCTGAAGAGATGAAGTGGCATTTGATGGTTTCGGTCCGGGGAAAGCCACATGGCAGTATTGTGAAAGTCATCAGCCCGTCTTCGCCTTCGTCGGCCCAACATTGCTCTACTCTGACGATGGTGCCGGTGAACATTATCGTGGTCGGCAGTGAGCCTCCTATGTTGACTTGCTCAAACTCAGGGCCCACGTTCTGTGCGATTACCCTGTCCCATTTGTGATATTCCAAAAGTTCCCGTGATCATCTTGTCCCTCTACCATGAGAGCGTCCGCGATGTCATGGGGATGAATCCCCCTCTTCCGCATGGCTTCGCGCAGGGAACTAGACTGCGAGTTGAGAAAGTCATTCGATAAAGCTCTTAAGCCATCGGCTAGGTCGATCCTTGTTTCCATCATGTCTTCATTGATTAGACACCAGAGCAAATAGCTGGGGCTGGTGTCTGCGACTTGTTTGATGGTCTGGCTGCAATGCTTTCCGAAGTCGAACTCGTACACTTCGTCTGATGTGTTTGCTTCACAGGCTTGACCTGCATGTTCCAGGGAAGACTGCGATACGGTAGGTGACGCAGGTAGAATGGTAATCACCGTGACACGTTCAGGGATCCTTGCAGCACACGCTCGGGCCACGTCAGCCCCCACTTTCAAACGGCTGTCACCGCCGTGCGCATGCGAGGACGACTAGTCTCACGCTCCGCATGCGACCCTCCCGAGGTCAAATCGTGTCGCGGTAGTGTCTCCAAGTATTGACCAAAAGTTCCTTGTCGACCTCGTCTCCCATTTGCTTTCTTCAGGGCGCATCACTGTTGGTGGTTTAGCAACGCGTTGTGCAGGTGCTCTACATCGCCGACGCGTTGCGCGTAACTGCGAGCCGCGTACCCTTACTTAAGTTGCGGCAAAATTTCCTATGCATACCGTGTTCTGCGATCGAGATCCCCTCGCCTGTAGCGCTTGACTATTTCCTCTCCAGGTCCGAACTCGACTTTGCAAAATTCTCCTCTTGCCTTTCTGCGATCTCGTATTCAAGCGAACGAGTTCTTTTGATACCTACGATGAGCTCCGGCGTCAAGCGACAGCGGCAACCAGCCGCATCCTCCAATGCCGAGTCCTCCAAGAAGCGACGTACCCAGACGCGCGCAGCACCCAAGAGCCGTGGTCCCTACCGTTTCACCTTTGGCAAATACAAAGGCAAAACCATACAAGAAGTACACGATGAAGACTTTGGTTATATCGAAGACTTCATCGTCTTCGAGGGTATGATGGGTGGAAACGATATACTCAAGAAAAATCCTGCCGTTAGAACTGGTCTGCGCGACCTACCGAAATCCTGGTTGGAACAAGACTCAAGCTTAGAACGACTTCTGGACAACGACCAGCCAGGTGGCCCGAGTATATACGAGTACGAAGCCATGGTTCCGAATCAAGGCATGATGAAGATGAACGAACAGAGTAGTAGCTGCAAGTTCTGAGAAGCGACCGATCGGGCCGTTATCACCGCGTCTCATCAAAACGCACCTACTGTCAAACTTGAAGACTTCGCAGAGGCGCTGGACGATTCTCATTTCACCAAGAGATTAAGTCCGATGCACATAGCGTTCACTGCTACGGTCATACGCGTCGAGCGAAACTTTACAGACTTCGGAGTGGGAGGCTCGGACTTCGACCCTTTTAAGATACTGCCATGTGGTTGGCCATGGGAATCTCCTCTGACCACTGAAGTCAACGTCGTAATCACCGGTCAGGACACGGTGTGGGCAGAGAATCTGGAGCCTCTGGTATACGGGCACTATCGCTTCAGTGGAAGTCTTGGTACCGGATCTTCCCCTCTCACAGGCTGGCCTAAGAGTCTCGACGTTCTCAAGGATCCGGAGACTGTCGAACCGAGCAGCGGGTGCTGCTTTCGAATTGCTGGCAAGGTCAAGGAGGTGAATGGTAGGAGTGTCAAAGTGAGCGTCAAGAGGGATAAGACTCGTTATGCGAATGGCTGGGAGAAGGATGTCAGTGTGGATCTTTCGGAAGGTGTTCAGGAGCCTGAAGTTGACGCGTCATATGTGTTCAAGGGTCATCTCGAGCCGTTCACCAAGGTGTTTAAGGATATCAAGTTCATCGCAGAGACTTATAATAAGACCGGAGAAACCCAGTCTTAAATGTAGCTTCAAAAGCGTCACAGCAAATGCATTCAGCCGAACGCAGAAGTGGCTTATGACCGCATTTGCGGTGCAATACTAATTTCATTTTTGCACAATATCTAGTCTCTACATTATAACAATCTGCTTCACCTTCCCCTCCTCCTGAACTTCCATGCCATCTCGTTTGATGCTTAGACGGCAGAACGGTCAGGCCCTCCACTCCAACAGCAACTTTTCCTCTTCACCAAAATCTCCATCTTTCTCAACAATACCCAGATCCTCCAGCTCGCGCTTAAAATTCTTGGGTTTGTACTCCTTCCTTTCCAACTCTGCGACTTGCTTAGCCAGTGCATTGCGATCGTCTCTCATCTCTGCAAAGAGCAGAAACCAGGGGGTTTCGTGGCTGAGTCCCTCACACTGCAGCCGGCTTCCTTTCCCAGCCCCCGTTCCACATCTGAGAGTTGTCGTTCGCCAAGTCCACCGACATGTCGTGCATTTCCAGTATTTCCACTTCTTGGGCCGGTCACATGTGGTACATTTTTGGTCGTGAGGTCCCATGTGAATCGTCCCTACTTCATCTTCTTTAAATAGGGCTGGACAGTCGACACAATCGAAAGCTTCATCTTCTAAGATCGGGTCTCCGATATTGGATCTCGGTGGCTGTGGCGATCGATATCTCTGTCGTAAGGGCGGTGTATGATCTTCGAACGAGGGCGGTGAATATCTGTATCGTGGGGACGTTGAATACATTTCTTGTGAACGCGTCCAGCTTGCTTCTCGTGAAGGGGAGGAACATCTCCCTTGTGGAGGCGGTAGACATGACCGCAACCGTCTTGGTCTTTCGGTCGAGCGACCCTCCTGATATTCTGGTCCTCTGCCGCGGGCCATTGAAAAAGTAAATTGCGTGATACCAAATGAGGATGTTGTATCAATGATCTTAGTGCGGTGGATGTGTGTAGAATATCAATCAGAAGACCAATCCGGCAGACAATTTATATTATCAATACGTGTCAACGAAGCTGTCACGAGAGAAAGCAAGGGAGTGAGACACGTCTGTGGCGGAGGCTGACTCTTTTACTGACTCCAGACGAGGACTCAATGACTTTGAGTCAGTAAAGTTACGTTGAACAAAACCATTCCACCGTGACCTCTTGGCGTTTCCTGTCACGAAGAGTAAGTCTGGAGACTCAGCTCTGTTTGCATGTCAGTACGGCATGACGCAGTGGAAATAAACTAATCATCATGAAATCGAGCGCCTTATAAAGTCGATGGTTACAGGGAGGTGGAGGCACCGCTGAACTCCCTCGTCTGTCCTTACGCAATCCATTCAATGCCGCAAAACCAACGATTCTGACGCCACAGAAATTATCATGTACCATACACTGAGAACAAATCTTTCTTTCCCAGCTCTTAGACAGTTCCCGCAATACTCAAGTCCCGAATCTCCTGCAGCACCTCCTCCACCCGCGCATCCAGCTCGCCCTGTGCATACTGATCTCTTGTGTTCGCATCCAAATACTGCTGCACTTGCGCCATTCTTGAGTACGCTTCCGCACAGAACCTCAGCTGAATCTTGACCAGCGCCTCGAAACTAGGGTCTAGGTATGGTACTCGCAGATCGATGAGCTGGGGCAGCTCGGTTGTGAGGGTGTCATTGAGTTGATCGTACGCGGCCTTGGCGAGTTGTTCGTCCTTCTCAGCGCGCGGTAGCTTGGTGACATCCTTGTCAGGCTTGTCGGTAAGCTTCCGGACTTGCGCGCGCATGCGGTCGTAGTCCATCTGCTTGTGTTCGCGCTTTGTGATGCAGGCGTTGATGTCGGGGAAGTAAGAGCAGAATCGCTGGATGGGGTCTAGGACGGTTGTTCGGTAGGGGCCATCGAGGGCTTTTATCGTCTCGGCGTCTAGGTCGGTAACGGCTTGCTTGTAAGAGCGCGATACACCGTCTTTGGTGCCTGCGTCGCCGTAGAAGGCGTCGATGGTTTCGGCGATGCGCATTTGTGAGGCGGTCATGGCGCGCAGAGAGTCGAGGTAGCCCTTTGCTTCCTTTTGCAGCTTGTTCGCGGCGGTCTCCATAGTACGGTACCGGCTGGCGTCATGTTAGTCGTGGTACTACGGTGGGATGCCTTATTCTTGTATGAAGTATGCATCTGAAGGATTGGAGAGCCTACCGCTGCTCAGTCTCAAAGTCGCGGTCATTTGTGCGCTCGACTTGGCCAGTCTTCATAAGAACCTGCGTCGTCGCGCGATTGACGCCTTTCTTGAACCCTGCGTCTGGTGAGCCGGCGGCTTCCTGGATGATCGTCGAGGGGCTCCTTACCGGTCCAAGACATGATTGCGCTGTAGTCTCTCTACTTCCGGACGACGGTATGTATAGTGAGGTATGTGAGGCTTGGGATCGTGGGTGGTAGTCGTGGTGTTGTGGGGAGAGTAGCGTGAATGGAGAAGGAGACCGTGGTTGGGCGCAGTCGAGTGGTTGTTGGCGGGCGGCAGTGCCACAATGACGACGCTACAAGGCCCCGGCCGCGCTTTCTGGTGGCTGAGCAACCGCGACTCCGATTTTGATACAACGACCTGACTTCAATGTTTTCACTTCGACCGCTGCAGCGCGCAGCGCCCTCGCCTTTTCGTGTATGTTCAGGCTGCCTGCGGAAGTACTCCATCGCCTCGCCAGCCAGACAGAATGCCGATAAGAACCAGAAGCAGGTGATATTCTCGGGGATCCAGCCCACCGGCGTACCGCATCTTGGAAACTATCTCGGCGCACTGCGGCAATGGGTCAAGCTGCAAGACGAGGCATCTCCGGACACAACGCTTCTTTTCTCAATAGTCGATTTGCACGCGATTACGATAAAACAAGATCCGAGCGAATTGGCAAGATGGCGGAAAGAGATGCTGGCTAGTCTGCTGGCAGTAGGACTTGATCCGAAGAGATGCATCATCTTTGCGCAAAGTAGCGTAAAGCAGCATGCAGAGTTGATGTGGATCTTGAGTTGTGGTGCAAGCATGGGCTACTTGGGACGGATGACCCAGTGGAAGGTATACAACCGCGAAAGTAGACCTGGGAGGCATGATGTTGACACTGTCTTAGAGCAAGCTCTCCCTCCCATCCAATGCATCTCCTCTCGACCCCTCCAACAACAAAGACGCCCTCAAACTCGGCCTCTTTTCGTACCCGGTCCTACAAGCCGCCGACATCCTCCTCTACAACACGACCCACGTCCCAGTCGGTGAAGACCAAGCGCAGCATCTCGAGTTCACGCGCGAACTGGCCAGTGGCTTTAACCACGTCTACTCAGAGTCACAGCCTCTGTTGACTGTTCCACAAACACTTCTGAGTCCCGCGAAACGAGTCATGAGTCTGACTGAGCCAACGAAGAAGATGAGCAAGAGCGACCCCAAGCCGAAGAGTCGCATCTTGATAACAGACTCAAGAGAGGAGATACATGCCAAGTTGAAGACGGCACTGACAGACTCCATCGAGGGAGTGAGTTATGACCGCGAAAACAGGCCGGGTGTATCAAACCTTGTGGATCTGATGTATCATTTTGATGAGTCGCTCGCTGCGTCACCGGAAGATCTAGCGAGTGACTTGAGGATCCTAAGCATGCGGGCTCTGAAAGAGAAGGTCGCTGATACCGTAGATTCGGGTATCAGCGATGTAAGAGAATGTTACCAGGAATTGATGAGTGGAGATCAGAAGGAGCTTATAGGGCATGCAGAGGAAGGAGCGCAAAGAGCAGAGAAAATCGCCGAGAGAACTATTGAAAGAGTCAGAAACGCTATGGGCATCGGGTGGTGAGCCATGGAGTGTTCAGGCCATGAACAAACTGTCAGCCTCACGCACTGTCTTCTAAAAGATCAAGCTTGTAACCATCATCACTGTACAACATCCCACAGACCAATACGCCTTCGAGTCATCGCTAGTATAAACATGTATGCAACGACTTCTGAACTAGTCTTGCATACATCTAAAAACCTGCTGTGCTCTGCAAGCACCGGTCAATATCTAAATCTTCAACACACAATAACCTCCAAGTGGTCGCATGTACCCTTCTAGAGAATAACCCTTCTACACCAGCATCTTTCTCAGTCACAGGTGATACCCACAAACACTACATCAAGATGTCAAATGGATTACGGCGCAAAGAAACCGAGAAACCGCAAAAGACGTCTGAATACGAAACACAACTCGTCGTACCAGCCAAAACACCACCCGAAAAAATTTCCGACGTGGCCGACAGCATTCGCGAACACATAAGCAACAATTCGCCACCTGACCCAGGCCTCAAAGCACGGCTTGATGGAAAGGGTTGGGTCCTGGGACGAACCGCAGCCCAAAGCGGAACGTGGACGTGCAATAGTTGCAAGGAAGCACGGCCTCTGGGGGAAGTCGTGTGCGTTGCAAAACCCACTTGCAAGGGCGTCAGTGCGAAAGGCTTCTTCCAATATCTTTTCGACACGGGTTATTCTCTGGATTATGCTCCAACGGAAGAGTCATGGGGCGACGTGCTGAAGATTGTCAGTGGGGTGAAGCAGGACATCAATATTTCCTATGAAGGCGCGCAAAGTTCTGGAGAGTGATGGAGGCGCATTGATCTCACTGAGAGCGCATCACATGAGCGCTGTCACAAATGTCAGTGTGTACATAATTCATGCATTCCCTAGTCTACGGTCATTCACATGCAGCCACTGCGCCGCCAATTGCAAGCCCAAAGTAGCCATGCCACGCATGATGAAAATATGATTCAAAAACTCCGTTCCTATGCAGTGTAGATGCCGTCCTAACCGTGACCGAACCCTAGGCGTGAAAGCCCGTTGCAGGCGTAACGCCATGAATACCATGCCGAAACCGAACGCCGCGCTTATGATGAAGACGTGGAAGAAAACCGAGGAATGGAAAGTTGGGCAAGGGGGTGAGAGGGCGATGCGCAGTTCCTAGTGCGCGAGTGTCCACCATATCGTTGGACGGGGGTGAGGGGGAAATGGAGTAGGGGCTGCCGAATCGCATGATGACGAAGAGAGGAGTGTTGAGGTAGGTGATGCTATCGGTGAAGGGACAAGGATAAGGGTGTCAGAACCCGAATCCTCTTCAGACGCTGGGGACCCACCCCTAAGTAGCCCTGGCATGCGGATGTGAGACATTCGCATGATGAGGGGCTCAGAGTTGCAGTCCATGGGCAACGTCTAGCGCTTCATGGGGGTATCGGCGTCCTCATCATCTTCAGCATCATCGTCATCGCCTTCGAAGTCGGAATCCATTTCTTGGTCCTCGTCCGGGTCGCTCTCGCTGCCACCAAAGTCCAGGCTCTCGGCATCGCTGTCTTCCCAGCTCATGTCAAACTCGCCCTCGTCCTTCTCTTTCTTCCACGCTGTTTCGTGCGTTGGCATGACAAAGTCCGTGGGGATGTCTGCCTTTGACAGCTCGAGATCCTTCTTGACCATCTCTTTGTACTGTTCCGGCTTATTGCGCAGCATGACTCCCGCGTCGACGTTAGCGGGTGAGGAGACCTCGGCATCGTCCAGCAGAGAGAGGATGGATATCAGGACCGTCTCGACACGCTGCACGGGTGACCAGCGCTCGGCGGCAGTCTCGCCAGACATCTCGTCATCGCCGGGTGGGTGGAGGATGGAGATACATAAGCGGCCGTCGGGGTAGATGTTGGGGTGGTAGAGCGGGCGGATGAACTTGAAATCTGGTAAACCGTTAGCTCCTGCCCTGCGCTTCGCGACTCCTTCCGTCCCTGGATCCGCGTATTGGCAGTGACGTACCTGGCGGGCTATGCGGGTAGTTGCGAGGGAAGGTCATCTTGGCCTTGAAGTAGCCGCCGTAGTACATGGACTCTTCGTTCATGACTATCAGGGCGACACTCCACTCGAAGACGTTCTCGTTGATGAGCTGTGACGTGGTTAGCTCGGTGCTCCTGCATCGCCACTATGATTGTGACGCTGGAGGGAATGTCACCAAGACGCACCTCGATGTTTGTCCACTTCTCCTTGCTGAGCTGCTTGAACTCATTCATGAGTATCCGCTGCGCCATTTCCGCCATGTTGCCTTCTCGGTCCGGGGTCCTTGCTGAAGCGTGTAGTGTTCGTGGGGGTGCAGGAACAGTACTGTATTCGCCGAGGCGGTCGGTTGGGTGTTGTCTACGTGTAAAAGTGAGAGTGTGGGTTGAGAGAACGTCCTGGTGGTTTGTGCAAGGAGTGAGAGAGCGGCGGAAGGGCGAGAGTTTGTACTTAAGGGAGTCGGTCGGCTGAGGCGCTGCATGATCGAATGCTCTCGCCGAAACAAGGATTACTTAGTCCGCCCCTCGGCAGGAGCCTAAGTCACCGCTTCCGAACTCGCGGACAACGAGTGGAACCTTCCTTACTTGGTCCTCATGACTGCAGGGGCTCACCGTCACCACGTTTCTTTCATCGTCGGCACAGTTGCTGTTCGGCGCCTTGGATGCCGCGCATTCTGGCTTTGGCAGTGTTCCTTCCGACCTCGGAACGAATAGGAACGGTACGGAATGTCACCTTGGATGCGTCCCAAGGTTGGCTGCTCGCGTGATAGCACAGAGTTGCGGCTTATCTACGCTTCCATCTATCATCGCGTCTCTGGATGTCATGTGAGCGTATGAGCAAGGTAGTATAAACACGCGCTACCAATGCATGCCGTTTCATGTGATGTCATCATGGGCACTATCGACACCTGAAACAATACTGTAAAGCATTCTTTTGCTTTGTCTATTCGCGTACGCCAATCCCTAGCTTCATGGCTCATCGTACAGGGTATGCGCGCCTTCTTTTTTGGCTTGTCTGGTTTGCTTCTTGCTACCTTCTACCCAAAGCCATACGTAATTGTCGATCTGTGAGATCATCACATATGTGTCCAAATTCATACTCAAGCGATGTGCTGGCAGCAAAGAGCTTTGCGACGAGAACAATACTTTTCTAATCTAGAGTATATCTAATGCCGACATGATCGTGTATGACGTGACCCCCAATTATGACAACCTCCGGTACACCAGCGCTGGCGTTAATACATGTACTGAATGAAAAACCACGATACTAAACATAGGAGAAACAAAGACAGACAGTGTCCAACTGACAAAACAGGGAATTGCCAACCAACAAATTCAATCAAATGTAACGCATCCTCTTAGCAACCCCCAAGCAGACAGCAACGAAAAGGACGATAACACCAATAATGCCAAAGAACCATCCGAGGCTGCCATCCTGACCAGGAACCTTCACATTCATACCAAACAGACCACAAATCAAGTTGAGCGGAACGAGAATGGTAGCGATGACTGTAACCTTCTGAAGCGTAGCGTTGCTGTCGTTGCCTTGAATGACTTGATCAACCGAGATTTGCGCAAGGTAGTTGGAGTGTGCGCGGCTGAGCATCTTCTCGAAATGAGCCAAGTTGGACATCATAGTGACGACGTGATCCTGGATATCGCTGAGGTACATGCCCACGTCACCCCGAGGAGCAACGCTGTACGACTCGTTGCAACGCTTGGCGAAACCCTTGATGACATCTGCCTTGCCGCCCAAGAGACGCAGAAGCTGCATGACGCGCTTGCGGCAGTCGCCGATCGATCGAAGAATGGCGCGAGAATCTTCAATGCGCGCAGTGAAGACCTGATCCTCGATCGCATCTGCCTCATCTTCGATGCCCCGAATGACAGGTGCAAAGCTGTCGACAATGTCGTCGATGAGGGCGTAGCAGATCCAGTCAGCGTTGAGGTTGATGTAGTCGCGAAGACGGCTGATACGCTTGCGCACAGAAAACGTGTGTGGGCTCTCGCAGAAAGTGAAAGTTAGAATGCCCTCCTTGAACACGACAGCATAGAAGTTGACAGGCTCCAAGTATTCCTCCGATTCCTTGTCGGCTTGGAAGAAGGAACGGAAAGAGACGAAGTAGTATTGATGGAACAGCTCCACCTTTTCGCGCGGCTCCTGGACGCAGATATCCTCACGGGTAAGAGGGTGCACGCCGAAAGCCTTGGAGATGGCGAAGACTTCCTCTTCTGTAGGGTTGACCATGTCGAGCCACCAGACGCCGCCGTCTGATGGGGTGTCAAACAGATCGCGGAAGCGTTCGCCAGGCATAAGCAGGCCGCCCAGTTCGGCAGCATGGATCGTGTCGTCCAACTCAGACGAGAAGAACGTCCAGCGGTTGAGCTTCACCTCTGGCGTCGGCTTCTCCGCGAACACGTGTGACAGACCTTCCTCGGCGAGCTTCTCTTGGATCGCAGGGTCTGCATTCTTAAGACTCAAAGCGTCGCTGTCTGTCTTGGGCGTTCCTGACCGGCTGGACTTGGGGCGGAGATCGGAGAAGACCTTGGGCTTTGTCGAAAGGTTGGAAGCGGTGCTCGCCTTGTGACGCAGAGGCTGGCCGATGGGCGTCTTCTCATGAGCCTCTGCGACAAACTCCTCCAACTCTTCGTAGTCGAACCTGGTAGTCTTGCCAGTATCCTCGGCCACAGGGAAGCACACATCCTCCTCGGCAGAGCTGTGCGCAGATGCAACTTCAACGTTGTGCAGCTCATCGAGACGCTCGTCGCTGATTGTCGGACGGCGTGCAGTGCCGCGAGAAAGCGTCCTGTTCAATCCCAGCTCGAGCTCGGAACCAGCGTGGCTCTGGAGGGTGTTGGCACGGTCGCGGCGCCTAGGGCCGGCGAATGCGTCGACAGAGTTGGGAGGGGAGACGGAGCGCGAAGTGGTCGACGAAGCCCTGCTCCTAGTCAGGCGCTCGACTGCCGGGTCGCGCGGGCGCCTGAATGTCTCTCGACGGGCCTGTGGGCTGTGCGCCAGAGAACCGCGGCGGATGTAGGCATCGGGAGCCAAGTATTGGTCATCGTCTACGACGGCGCTTTCGAAATCGCGCCGAGTGATGTCTGCCTCGAGGGCCTCGTTGACTTGGAGGAGTATGTTGGGTCGGTCTTGGCCCTGGACACTTGCGAAAGTTGGTCGGCGCGACCTAGGGGGTGACGTGGCATCGGCTCGTGGGAGCGATACGGGCTGGTGGCGGTGGTCGTCGAGGTCAGACACCGGGGTGCTGAACCTTGTCTGGTTCTCGGATCTCGGAGTGTCAGTCATATTGGCGACTCAGGCGGCGATGAGTAGGACTCCGAATCAGATGTCGTATGCTTTGGTTAAGCCAGGTTGTTGGTGGATTCAGCGACTTCTTGCAGCGCAAGAACCACAGAAGCGGGCGAGTCGCTTGTGAGCGCTCACCTCTAGGGCGTGCTCAACTTGACGATGGCTTCGCGTAGGGTGGTCCCCTACACTAAGCCGATGGGAGACAGAGTCCGGTAGCCAGACTTCCACACCCTGTGGGAATAGGAAGAAATGTAGAGACGGTGATGCAGTAGCGAATGAATGTGTTTGCTGTTAGGGCGAGTTATGGTGGCTTGTGGTCGCCTCCGTATACCCAGGCCTTTGTGCCGAGCAAGGGGCGGATGAAGGAAAGCTTGTCGAGGTAGAGTCCCGCCAACTTGGTGGTTTGTATGTATATGGACGCCGTAGCGTCAGAAGGTGCGGTGTAAGGGGACGGTTGCAAAAACAAAGACCCCTTGAGCGATCAGTCGCGGTGGTGGATGGCGGTCCACGGAGATAAGAGCCGGATAGGTGGAGGGTGCGCGATCGCGACTGCTGGCAGTTGGTATCGTGAGGCGGTTGAAAGTCGATGGGAAGTGCGGTGGGTGGAAGTCCAGGGGACGGTGGGAGTGTTGTTGAAGGGACGGTGCGGGACTCAAATACCGCGATTGAGCGATGGGTCAAGGAAAAAGCTTGTGCAGCGACGGAACCTACTGGCCCGCTCTGATTGGGCAGGCGCGCTCAGAGAACGACAAACGGTCATGCATGTGACTGATCGAGAACTCGGCCGTTGTGGAGAGAGCGAGTGAAAGTGGTGCCGCATATTCCGCGGCCTAACTGACCAAGGTTCTTGTCGCACCTGGATGGCGAACCAGGTACCAAATGCTGTTGTTGCGTCAGTGTTGGGCGTAAATCAAGAGGCGTCGTTAGTGAAGGCTAGTGCGGCTGCGGACCCCTGCCTTCTAGATGTCCCGGCTCGTGGTAATGCCACCTCTCCGAGACAGTTAGGCCCGTTAGACGTTCAGTAGAGTTCCAAGTGACATCCGTTCCCGATCTTCACCAACCTAGCCTTCAAATACAACGATCACGACTCGGACATCCAGCATACCCCATCACCATGGCCGACCAGCTTCTGGAGCAGGTGCGCGATGCGGTCGAGGGCCAGATTGTATGCGACAGCGACGCCGCTATCTGACTTGATGCATGTGCTAACACGACCAGGACTTTGAGGGTCAGCGGCTTGCAGAGATGCTGAGCACTGTCCTGCTTGGTGCGGCTGGTGTATGTGTTCCTCGCCCGCCTGATACACTTCAACAAGCTGACAACACAGATCATCGCATTCATCGTTGGCTTCCTGCAGCAAGACATTCGAATGGCACTCTACATTGGCCTCGCCGGCTCCGCGCTCACATTCCTGGTTGTCGTACCCCCGTGGCCTTTCTACAACAAGAACCCCGAGGACTGGCTCCCGCCGCACAACGCGACATCACAGTACAACATCGACGTAGACGGGCAGAAAGTTGGATAGTCGCGCTGGGACACGGAAGGGAGTCGCATGGTCAGGACACTTCACGATCGTAATGGAATCTGATTCGACGATGATAACCGCCTACGCTGCTACTTCTCCATGCTCTCATAGCCCTTTTGTGAAGGCCCTACTAACGCCAGACGTCCGAATGAAACCAAGACCCATGTTTGTCCCTGCTGAAACCAATCTCTCCACGGCTTTGCGAGCGTCTATCGGCCGTACTTTTGGAACTCCCAGTCTCGGTTGTCTAGCGGGCAGACTTGTCTGGTCTTGAGCCATCGTGAAATGCAGTGGAAGTGGAAGGCGTGCTGTCATGTGTCAGTACGGGTCAGTGCAGTGTCATGATAGAGCGTACGTTGCAGATGCCCCAGGCGACTGTGCATTCTTCGCTGGTGGCGGAGGCTTGGTTGGCCTGGCACTCGATGCACAGGTCCATGATGTGGTTACGGCAAATGGCGCAGTTGTCGACGACGATATCCCAAGCCCAGAGAGCAACCGCGTTCCACTGCGTCATGTTAGCTTCAATCTCTATGTCCTGTCCTCTGTCGTGTGATGCTGACCTTCTTGACCTCGAAACGTTTCTTGTCGCCCTCTGCAGCACTGGCCTTGCCGGTCTTGGTCTTCGCCGGGGGCGCGTCTGCCATGTCGACATCCGCCATGATTATGTGATGTATCGGGGTGGTGGGGTGCGCGGGGAGTTGGTTGGAGTGGGAGCTGCTGGGGTTGACGCAGCGCGGTGGTAGGCGGTGTACGGGCGGTTGCAGTTGGAAGGGAACAACGTGCAGCTCGCAGAATTATATGGCGGTGGCGAAGTTTTGTTGCAGCGCTGCCACTGTGTTTGTAGGTGAAGGCGCAGTGTGCAGGCGTCAGGCTCCAGCTACGAGCTCCCGAATGCCAAGGCCAGGCCCTGTGTACCAACCTTGGGACGAGGTGCCAGGTGAAAGGGAATGCACATTCTTTCGCTAAGCGTCCAAATCTCCTTCGGACGAGCAAACGCCACAATGCCACCGCTCCTCGCGATTCAAAGACGGGCGCCCGACAGCCTCCCGCTTCCATCATACCCAACCCGACCTCTCAGCCCTACGCCGCCGCAACCGTCAGTGCGCCTTGCCGAGATCAGCCTCGTTGGATCACAGCCACCTCCGCGCCGTTCACCGTCGATGCGACCGACTCTGCTCACAACACCCTCACTCTTCGCCCTATCTCACCCAACGGCGCGTGCCTATCTATACCCCGCGAATCTGGATATGATCACTTCAACATCTAACCCTTGCACATTCCCACCTTATCAGACAAAGACACAGACCGCGTCATCGCGCATCCAACCCACTACCTCATCACGAACCAAGAGCGTCCGCCTGCGCCCTACCAGATAACCCACCCCCATCACAATACAACAACTCCACAGACAACGCTTCACATGTCGACAGTACAGACGACGGCCTCTCCACGCGCTCCCCGGGGCAAGCCGCAGAGCCCAGCTCAGGCAGCGCACACCAACGCCGGCCGGCAGTCGCAACGCAAACCACGAGGCAACCGCGCTCACAATGGCTACAGCCAGAACCAACACAGTGCGGCAGGAGCGTCCCCGAGCAAGATGCCTGCTGAGCTCGCCCACGCGGAAGGCGCGTCCCACTCAGGTGAGGACGCGCACATGCCCTCTGGACCGCGCAACATGAGGAAGCCCAACCAGTCCCATCCCTCCATCGACCGCGTCTTCTCTCCTCCTGAATCAGAGCCTGTTCCGATCAACTCCTCTGCTACCCCGGCTAAGATCCAGGCCGCCTATGCCGGCCCGACCTTCCATGCTTCTCCGGCTCCTTCTGCTCTGCCTATACCCAAGTTTCTTTCTCGTTCTGTGCCGGCCAAGACACGTGCTGGTCCACCAACACCTCCGCCCGAAGATAGTTCTGATTCTGCTTCTCCAAGTCCTTCTGCTTCTCCTTCCCGCGCCCCGGTGGCCGTTCCTCCTCGTAATGAACAATCTCCATTGGACCTGCTTTTCAAGGCGGATGCGGCTGAGAGAGCCAAGGGCAACCATGGACGCCCAGCCTCCCACGGACCTTTCAACCCAATGGACACTTCCAGGCCACAGCATTTGAAGCATGATTCGTCACACTCGATGAATGGCGTCTTTCCCATAGAGCTTGACGGGGAAAGCAAGCACGCACACATGTCTCCCCCACCAGCAGCCTCGCCCGCCTCGCATCGCTCCGTTACAGATCCCACCAAGATTCCACAGCTCAAGGATATGCAACAGCACGGCAACGGCAACGATGTTATGAACGACCTACTGAATCGTCTCTCAATGTCACAGAAGAAGCCTTCGGCAACACCGCCTCGACCGGATGCGCAGGGTCCACAAGGATTCATGATAGGTCAAACACCATCACCTTTCCATGACGGTCGCCCTCCCCAGAACCCTTCTGGACCCACCACACCGCAGGCACCACCGCCGAACCAAGACTCTGAATTTTTCTATGGCAACCGTAATCTTTCTCCCTTGTTCAAAGCCGCAAAGGGCGATTCTGCAAAGAAACGCAACTCTGGTCTTCGTACCGAGATCTCGGCTGAGTCTCCTATGGTCGGACCGGGCAACTTCCAGAGCTTTCCTTCTGTTCCTCCCACTCAGATGATGGACCCCAACGCCTTTTCCCGAGATCAGCCAGGCAACGGTAACTCAGGCTTTGCCAACGGGCCCCGTCCATCAGCACCCCATGTACAGCCCTACCAACAAAGTCCAAACAACCGCAGGAAGGCGCCTGGCCGGCAGCCACACCAGCCACACCAGCCTCGCCCCGACACTTACCAGAAACGAGGCAATATGGGTGGGACTGGAAATAAGGCGGCCAATGCTCCACCAGCATCTGCTCCGAAGGCCCCTACCAGCATGATGTCCTTTGTACCTTCATCAGTCGCTGCGAAACAACGCAAGACCTCAGCCCCCGCTGCCACTGCTGGTGCCTCACCCATGAAAACCGCCACCCCTTCCAATACGTTGTCTCTGGAGCAGGATCTCAAACGCTTGCTCAATCTCAGCCCGGCTGGCGAGTCCAGCGTCAGGTAGTCGTTGTTTCTACGAGACCTGCCATGTTTGGGCATGGTCTGGGCTCACTACATTCGCTTGTTTATATGGATTTTCTATTTGTTCCATGTTTATGGTTCATGATTGTATTGCCACTTCATTTGGAGTTTATGGCGTTATCAATGGCTGGTCGCCATCTTTTTCGTGGAAGTAGTGAGCATTGACGGGCATGTCGTCTCAGGTTCTTTGGTCCAGCGCAAGCGTTTCTTTTGTCACTGTTCATGAATGGATGCATGGACATGGGATTTGAAGAGCTGGAAATCAGGCGTTTTCTTGCACCATGTTTCATGTTCTGGTGCATAGGCACTTTAGGGAATGTCTCGACTGGCTATGAGAAGTGAGCTTCCTCCGACAATTCTCTGCTGTCCATGATCTGGATCCAGGCACGACTCAACTCGACTATCACTACATCACCACAAACCACAAGTAAAAATCAAGAAAAAAATATAAGGGCATGATGCTCGGCTTCGGTGTCTCCCTCGGGAGGCATGAGGTTTTCATGTCCAAACAAGGTTTCCGTTCGGCACGACTTCGTGATGGTGAGCTGCTTCCCTATATTGTTTCTTCGTTTGACTTTGATTTCCACGTCATCTGTTCTGTCTGCAAGAGAAGTATATGACCCAGACAAGAGCATGGGGTGGCATACTAATTGTTGCGCGAGCGAGGGTTCTCCCTGTGTTCGGCTCATCACGGGAGTGAACTCTCACTTTCACCATCCCATGTCACTAGCGGAACGTGCCAGTGCTGCTTGGCACTGGTCGCGGTCTACCCTGAGTGAGCACTTCCAGTGGGCGCAGGTTCATTTTCCTGTTGTTTTCTCGCGCCTGTTTACGCACCACCAATCACACCCCCGCTCGATCGCTTTGATTCTTCTTTGCAGGCAATCACGCGACCTTTGCAACACTCGCCCAACCTTAAGTACTAACACAAAATCGAATTGTCATAACTGCCAACTGCCGCAACTGGTCAGGATGAAGAGTCTTCGGAGCAAAGGTAGGCTCTTATTCTCTCCCATAGGCAGCGTTGAGCCCGGGATGGATTCACTCGCTCCACAACCGCAAAAGCTTTAGCGTTAACATATAAGTAGCGTCGCACTTCTTCAGAGATAGCCCAAGTCGTGATGAGAAGACCGCTATCGCCGACAGTTCGGACATCGACTTTGACGCCGGGATTCAGGACGCGGGTATGCGGAAAAAGCGTAAGTCACTGTCCTGCATGTAGGCGGAGACACACTAAAACCATGTGCAGCATCGCGATTCTTCGGACTCAAGAACGACAAGCTGAACAAGCCACTGCCTACTCTACCTTCCAATCCCAACTCGTCCACGCCACTTGCCCCAGTCGCTACGCGTGTCACTCTAGGACAGCACGGCGATAGCTTCGAGAACCTACCCAACTACGAGGATCTGGAAGAGGAAGAGTGTCAAACAAGCTCACCGGCTCTTCCGCCAGCTTCGCGCAGCCTCTCCGCCACTCCAGGGCACAAACACGCTCGCGGTGGAGAGCCGCTCAGATCAAAGTCGCGACCCAACTTCGCATTGCTTAGAGAAAAAGGCATGTTTTCCGCTATTCATGCACATGTCGACTCAATCTTGACTCGTATTCTAGGCTCTCGTCTCTTCGGCGGCAGCAAGAACAACGACTCCACGCAGTCACCAACCCCTCCGCCTGTTCCACAGATACCTACTAGCGTTCCTCTCCCCAAAGCACGCCTTCCTGGCCTCACACCATTGTCAACAGCACGCGCATCGCGCGCATCTCTCGTCAAGACTCAAAACCGCAGCGTCTCTATATCCCGCCCTCAGCTCATGGCACAACTCTGCAGTCCACCCATCCCAGAAGACCACGTCACGGTACCCTTTGAAAAGCGTCCCGGCCCACCACCTCCGCGCCCTCCCCGTCCTGATAGTCTCGA